GCTCCATAGATGGAGTCACTTGTACTTCACGTTGCATTTAGGGACCCTCTGCAAGATCTGAAATGTCTCTAAACCCATTCTCATTCTGTTGACAAGGTCAAACTGAAAACTTTGTATGGTCCACAGGTATGTAGGAAGCATCCTATGAGCTGCTGATCACTGCTGCTGTGTAGCTGTGCTCAGGAATGGCTCATCCACATCATGTCTCAGATGCCCAAGCACCACAATGCCTTTCAGAGGTGATTTCACACCCTTTGCTTTTCCTTCTCTTTGTTTTCCTCTGGGAAAGCATGAGCAGCCCTGGAGGCTTCCTCCCAGCAGAGCACACGCAACTGTATTTACAGCCCCAGCACCACAAGCTGGGCTCTTGGAGTCTGGCAGGAACTCACCTCTCCTCACATCAGGTGCTTAACAGAGCTGATGCTGGCACACAGATGTTCTCTGCTGCATTGGGGATTAACCCGTGGCTCCCATCACTCGGTGGCAGAAGGAAGTCACAGGAGGTAACATCAACACAAAGCAGAGCCTCACCTTCATTGAAGCAGTGGTATTTCTTCTTCATGTCCTCAGGGCCTCTTTGGGAAAGCTGTGTCAGAAAACAGCCTTATCAATGTGGGTTCTTTTTATAATAAGAGGGAGCAATGTCTGATGCAGGTTGTGTTTCTTTTACAGAGGCTGCTAAAGCAAGATGCACTGATTTATTCAAGAGTTAAATGAGGATGAATCTTATTTTGTTATAAAGAAATGCAACATTGCAGATTGTCAGCAGAATATAGTCACTGACTAATAGAGTCAGTAACAAATCAGCACGTTGTAACATCCACTCCTTTTTAATGCAAGCAGCTTAATGCTCATAGGTTTAGGATGCTTCAGTGTGCTGGAGCTCAGAAAAGTATAAATCATGTGAATTTTATCTGTTATGAATAATCTCAAATAGTTTAATAAATGTGATTTGGTGACTGGAATGATAACTAAAAGCCAAGGGAAAATGTGTGCAGTTTATTCATGTGTAAGATGGATTTCACTAGGACTTGGACTTTCTTTCCCCCTGGATTACATGTACTACTATGAGGTTTTCAGGTGTCTTCTGACCAAATTAACTCTGAATACTGAAAAGTGAAAGTGAAGAAAGATCTAATTCTTTTCTTTAATCTGAAAACACATGTGCTTGAATAAATTCATAGTTTTAAGAGTCCTAGCACTGAAAATAGCATTTGTGCCTTGAATGCAGTCCATGTTCTTTTCAAGATACCTCAGTTGAATAACATAAAATATATATAATTTGGGTTAGTTAATATAGTAGAATATACAGTAATGTGGCATTAAACTGGTCATTGTTTGGATTAAAATATGGTCCAAAAGTGCCTAAATAAATCCATCGTTTTAAGTGTTAGAGCATAGAAAACCAAAAATGCCATTTGTTACTTCAGTGTGCTTCCTGTTCTCTTATAAATACACTAACTGAAAACCAAAAACCATACGATTTTGGGTTAAAAATATAGTACAGTATATGAATTCAACCAAAATGTGGCACTTACAGTGGTGATTGACTGTAGTTAAACATGGTCCAAAAATGAATCTCCGTTTTTAAAAAAATGTTTCTCTTCCTTTTGCCTCAGCAGGTAACACCAGATCATGGGAGGAAATCAAACCCAGATTAAATTCATCCTTTCAGGAATTACAGACAGCCCGGGTGCTCAGATCCCTCTGTTTGTGTTGTTTCTGCTGAATTACATTGTCATTTTGGTGGGGAACTTCGGCATTATCATCTTGGTTCGGGTGTCTTCCAGCCTCCAGACCCCCATGTACTTCTTCCTCTCCCATTTTGCCTTCATTGACATCTGCTATTCCACAGTCATCTCCCCCAGGATGCTGGCAGACCTGTTATCAGAGGACAAAACCATTTCTTTTACCGGCTGCATGATGCAGTCTCAAAGCTTTACACACTTTGCTGTTATTGAGTGTCACCTGCTGGCCATGATGGCCTACGATCGGTACGTTGCTATCTGCCAGCCCCTGCTTTATGTGACCATCATCTCCAGACGCGTCTGCTGGCAGCTGGTAGCATCATCCTACCTATTTGCCTTCCTCAGTGCCATCATCTGCACATGGTGCACGTTTGGAGGTTCCTTCTGTGGTCCCAACCGCATTGACCACTTCTTCTGTGACGTTGTTCCTGTGCTAAAGCTCGTGTGCTCTGACACACACAGCAGTGAGATGCTCATCTTTGCCTTCGTCACCATCAATGTAGTGGGTACGAGCGTTATCATTTTGCTCTCCTACATCTCTATCATCCGCAACATGCTGAGGGTGTGCTCAGCACAGAGCAGGGCCAGAGCCTTCCATACCTGCACCTCCCATTTGGTGGCTGTTGCCTTGTTATATGGGTCAGCATTCTTCATGTACCTACAACCTCCATCTAGCCACAGGAGCCTGGATAAGGTGGCTTCCATCCTCTATGCTGTGGTCAACCCCATGCTTAACCCATTTATCTACAGCCTGAGGAATAAGGAGGTGAAGGAGGCTCTGATCAAGTGCAGGAGAAGGTTCTTCAACCACTGGCAGCGCAGAAGAGTTGTATTATCCACGACATGAAGATTTCATGTCAAGTGAGAAAGCTTATGGGACACTGAAACAATGGGATTTCCCACTAATCCTCATGACTTTATGTAGGTTCTTACACTGTCCCTGCACAAAAGCCAATGACAGTATTTAATGAGAAAGAGACTCCCCCAAATCACATCTGCATTGGAAGGAACCCAAGAGGAACAGCAACCTCAAACTTCATTACATTTTGCTGTTATCCTCCTCTAGGAAGAATTTACCCTCAATTATTCCAGGCCTCTTCTCACAGGAAATACCAATCAGCTTTACTTGGTTATAACTTTTGTCACTGATAATATTTTTTTTTTTTTGCAAGATTTTTGACCTTGTCCTTCAGCTCTAATAAAATTCCTCACTCTTACCTGTGAGCTTTTTATTAAAGCTGCTGGGGTGGGAGGGAAGAGCAAGTGTAGTTTTACATTTGCTTGCTGAAAAAGAGTCAGAGAAAAGGTTAGAAAAGATTCATTGCATTTGTTTGTGCCTTTCAAAGAGAAGAAGCTGGTGGGAATCAAGGTCTCAAGCTGCATCTTTGAATATGAAGAGGAATCCCTCCCCAGGCTGCAGCTTCACAAGAGATGAGGTCTTGGGTGATCTGATTTAGTGTAAGGTGTCCCTGCCCACGGCAGGGGGGTTGGAACTAGAAGATCTTAAGGTCCTTTCCAACCCTAATTATTTTATGATTCTATAAAGGAAGAAATTGTAGATTTAATTAATACATTATAACTAATGTCAATATAATTAATTACTATGTTTCATTAATGTTAATATAATATATAATAAAGAGTGAACTGTTCTGAGACCACCCAGTGTTAAGGACATTTTGGGCACATCAGGGAGTCCTTCAATTCATCTTAAGTGCCCTATACTTAAATGGTGAGATAAATGGAATTCCAGCTGGAGATAAGTACCCACATCCCATGTCCATGCCCAGCTCATGATAAAGTACACCACGGAACACAAATGGTGTATTTTACTGACAAATGAAACCTGCGGCTTGTTTCCATAGATGAAAGGCAATCTTGAGCACAGAATTCCTGGTAACTGAGAACTGTCTGGGTCTGAGAAAAGCCAAAACACACAGATGGGGGATAACAGCTTTCCTTTACCTGTTGAGTGGGAATTAACCTGTATTTGATAAGTGTATGGATGGTGAACAGTCTCTTTTGTTTGCTCTGCCAAACCACAGCAAGAGAGGAGATGTTGTCTAAGGTCTCGGGGAAAAGTGGTTTCTACCTGTGTCCACTGATGGAGACAGCAGAAATGTGATTAAATGCTGAAGAACTTAAGGTGTCAGAGACTTTTAATATCAGAGAGCTTCCTTGAAAACCTTCACCATAACTTCTTTTCCTCCTTCTAGTTAGTTGGATGTCTTTGCTTACACTGTACACATAAAATCATAGAGCCACAGAAAGCCCAAGCTGGACCTCAAAAGATCATCTGGTTCAAGCTTTTGTGGGAAAGGGAGTCTAGATGAGAAGCGTGATGTGTAGGGCTCACCACTGCTTGATGAATTACCCCACTCTGGTGTCCTTATTTCCTGTTCGGTTTAACAAATTTTCCAAAACAGAGACAACTGAAATGCTCAAAGGTTTACCCACACTTGATGCCATGCTCCTAAGAGAGCTCTGGTTTGCCATAGTCTTGTGTGCGGTGGATCCAACTCAGTGAACTGGCAATAGGAACCTAAGTCTAATGTACAGGGGAGGCAGAACTCTGAATTCCAGCAACACAAGAAACAGGCTGGAGGTTTTGGAAATACATTTTACACCGAGACAATCATTGCATGATTCTGCTTCAATCTTTGCAGAGAAATGATCTACAAAATGCAGAGATCCCTGGGGGTAGACACAAACTTCCCACATCACATACATACAAGAGGTCCTCTCCATAGAAGTCTCACATCACACTTGGTAAAGGAGAAAGCACCAAGGACAAGAGAATAATACATGAACTTAAGGTGCACTTGATTACTCAACTTCCCTAACACAGAAGAATAGCTCCAAATTTGCCCATTTAAGTACATGATCTAGAGAGAGAGGGAATGCCAGAGCAGTGAGCCCTGGCCGAGCTGTTGAGAGCAGTGTGCTGGGTTCTGCTCTGCAGGAGCATGAGGAATGCCACAGGAGTGTCTTTCTTTATCTCTTTAAGTAGAGCCAAAAAGGAACACCATGGTGCACAGTGAGCATCCCACAGTACCTGAGCCAGAGAAGTAGGACAGGAACAGAGACCTGGGCCAAGTTCAGCCAAGACTCCAATCATCAGGCAGGTTGGTGATGATATGAAAGACACAGGTCCAGGACTAAGCCAAAGAATGTCAGATCAAGCCAAGTCAATCCCCTGAACAGGGTCAGGTCCAGCAATTGCTAGGAAGATACATGAGCAAGCTTTGGTCACCATCAAAGGATTCCATAGATGTGCACAACTCCTGCTAAAATGGAAACAAAAACTCAAACATAACCCAACTTCCCTGGGCTGAGTTAAAATAGAGACGGTGGGCAAATGGGTGGAGGGTGGGGACGGAGCCCCAGCTGAGGCTGCTCAGGGGGATAAAGGCCTATTAGTTCACCCTGGGACAATTCATCCTTGCCTCAAATACCCATTTCTCATCCTTCAATAGAGTGGAAGCCCCAAAGCACCAGCTCAGCTGTTGGCCATCCAGGCTCTACGCATGGAGAACCCCACTGGGGATGGAAAACTGGGCTCGCCAGTGTCCAAGGAGGAACATCAGCAGCTCCAGAGAAGGAGTCACTTGTGCTTCCTGTCCCATTTGGGGATCCTCTGCAAGATCAGAAATGGCACTAAACCCATTTTCATTCTGTTGCCAATGACAGACAGAAAGCTTGGCATAGTCCATAAGTATGTCAGAAGCATCCTATGAGCTGCTCATCACTGCTGCTGCTGTGTAGCTGTGCTCAGGTTTGGCTCATCCACGCCATGTCTCTCAGATGCCCAAGCACCACAATGCCTTTCAGAGGTGATTTCACACCCTTTGTTTTGTTTTCCTCTGGTAAATCATGAGCAGCCCTGGAGGCTTCCTCCAGCAGAGCACATGCAACTGTATTTACAGCCCCAGCACCACAAGCTGGGCTCTTGGAGTCTGGCAGGAGCTCACCTCTCTTCACATCAGGTGCTTAACAGAGCTGATGCCGGCACGTAGACTTTCTCTGCTGCGTTGGGGACTAACCTGTGGCTCCCATTACTCGGTGGGAGAAGGAAGTCACAGGAGGTAACACCAACACAAAGCAGAATCTCACCTGCATTGAGGCAGTGGGCTTGCTTCTGCATGTCCTTGGGTTGCCTTTGGGAAAGCTGCATTGGAAAACAGCCTTACCAATGCAGGTTTCCTTTATAATAAGAGGGAGCATTGGCTTATGCAGGTTGTTTTCTTTTACATAGGTAGCTAAAGCAAGATGAACTGAATTACTCCAGAGTTAAATGAGGATGAATCTTATTTTGTCATAAAGAAATGCAGCATTTCAGGTTGTCAACAGAATATGGTCACTAACAAATCAGGCTTTGGATTCAGCCTCTTATAACACCAACTCTTTTCTAAGGCAAGCAACATAATGCCCATAGGTTGAGGGTGCTTCAGCATGCTGGAACTCAGAAAGGTAGAAATCATGACTTTAGCAATGTGAATTTTATCCTTTTTGAATTATAGGTAACACTTCGATATATGTGATTTTAAGACTGGCATTAGAATTAAAAGCCAAGGGAAAATATCTGGAGGTCATTAATGTGTAAGCTACGATTTCAATGGGAGTGTGACTTTCTCTTGCTCAAGGTTTACTTGAGCTCCTATGAGTTTCCTCTAAGCTGTCTTCTGACACAAACTGCCTCCAATCTGAAAGTGAATAAAGATCTGATTCTTCACTCAAACCTGAAAAATCAGGTGCTTGAATAAATCCATAGTTTATGTTTCTCAGCATAGAAGAACAAAAATGGCAGTTTTTGCTTCATCGCACTCTCTGTTCTTTTCTAAGTACCTCAAATGAAGAACAAAATCATATAATTTGGGTTTACAAAATACAATACAAAACACCAAAATGCCAAAACATGGCAGTTAAACTGGTGATTGATTGTAGTTAAGTATGGTCCAAAAGTGAATTTCTGTTTGCAATGATTTTGACGTTTTCCTTCCTTTTGCCTTGGTAGGTAACACCTGGTCATGGAAGGAAATCACACGCAGACTAAATTTGTCTTCTTGGGAATTACAGACAGACCATGTGCGCAGACCCCTCTTTTTGTCTTGTTTCTCCTGATTTACATTGTCGCTTTGGAGGGGAACTTTGGCGTTATCATCTTGGTTCGGGTGTCTCCCAGCCTCCATACCCCCATGTACTTCTTCCTCTCCCATTTTGCCTTCACTGATATCTGCTGTTCTACAGTCATCTGCCCCAGGATGCTGGCAGACCTGTTATCAGAGGACAAAACCATTTCTTTCACCGGCTGCATGATGCAGCTCCTCACCTTTGCTTTCTTTGTCACTATTGAGTGTCACCTCCTGGCCATGATGGCCTACGACCGGCACATTGCTATCTGCCACCCCCTGCTTTATGTGACCTTCATCTCCAGAGGCGTCTGCTGGCAGCTGGTAGCATCATCCTACCTATTTGCCTTTCTCAGTGCCATCATCTGCACATGGTGCGTGGTTGGAGGTTCTTTCTGTGGTCCGAACCACATTGACCACTTCTTCTGTGACGGTGTTCCTGTGCTAAAGCTCGTGTGCTCTGACACGCACAGCACTGAGATGGTCCGTCTTTTACACCGTGGTCACCCCAATGCTAAACCCATTCATCTACACCCTGAGGATCAAGGAGGTGAAGTGCCCTCTGCTGAAGTGCAGGAGGAGGTTGTTCAACCACTGGCAACATGCAAGACTTGTATCATGCAGGACATGAATACATCAAGTGAGAAAGCCTAAACTAATGGGATTTTCCACTAATCCTCATGACTTTATGTAGGTTCTTTCACAGTTCCTGCACAACAGTCAATGAGAGCATTTAATGAGAAATAGAACCCCCATCGCATATTCCTAGGAAGGACACCAAGAGGAGCAGCAACTTCAAACTTCATTTCACTTCTCAGCCACCAGCGTGTAGGAACAGATTACCTTGAATTATCCCAGGCCTCTTTTTCCTCACAGGAAACACCAATCAGCTTTATTCAATTCTCACTTTTGTCACTGATAAATATCCACTTTGCTTGCAAGATTCTTGACCTTGTCCCTCACCTCCAATATGCGTACTATGTGTGTATGTGTGTAAATATACGTATGTGTGACAGAGGAATACAAATAAAATGTATAAAACTGGTATTAGACATAATGTGACACAAACAGACTTGGACTCAATGTGTGGGTCTGCATGACTGTACTGCACAGAATCATCTCTATCTTGAGAAAAAACTGATTTTCTCACCTCCTGGCTTGTTTTATAGAATCATAGAATCATTAGGGTTGGAAAGGACCTTAAGATCATCTAGTTCCAACCCCCCTGCCGTGGGCAGGGACACCTTATGCTAAACCATATCACCCAAGGCCTCGTCCAACCTGGTCTTGAACACTGCCAGGGATGGAGCATTCACAACCTCCCTGGGCAACCTATTCCAGGGCCTCACCACCCTCACAGGAAAGAATTTCCTTCTTATATCAAACTTAAACTTCCCCTGTTTCAGTTTTAACCCGTTACCCCTTGTCCTGTTACTACAGTCCTTAATGAAGAGTCCCTCTCCAGCATCCCTATAGGCCCCCTTCAGGTACTGGAAGGCTGCTATGAGGTCTCCACGCAGCCTTCTCTTCTCCAGGCTGAAGAGCCCCAACTTCCTCAGACTGTCTTCATACGGGAGGTGCTCCAGTCCCCTGATCATCCTCGTGGCCTCCTCTGGACTTGTTCCAACAGTTCCATGTCCTTTTTATGTTGAGGACACCAGAACTGCACACAATGCTCCAGGTGAGGTCTCAGAAGAGCAGAGTAGAGGGGCAGGATCACCTCCTTTCACCTGCTGGTCATGCATCTTTTGATGCAGCCCAGGATATATTTGCTTTCTGGGCTGCAAGCGCACACTGCGAGCCCATGTTCATTTTCCCATCAACCAACACCCCCAAGTCCTTCTCCTTGGTCTGCTCTGAATCTCTTCTCTGCCCAACCTGTAGCTGTGCCTGGGATTGCTCCCACCCAGGTGTAGGACCTTGCACTTGGCATGGTTAAACTACATGAGGTTGGCATCAGCCCACCTCACAAGCGTGTCAAGGTCCCTCTGGATGGCATTCCTTCCCTCCAGCGTATCAACCGAACCATACAGCTTGGTGTCATCGGCAAACTTGCTGAGGGCGCACTCAATCCCACTGTCCACATCAGTGATGAAGATGTTAAACAAGACCGGTCCCAACACCGATCCCTGAGGGACACCACTAGTTACTGGTCTCCAGCCGGACATTGAGCCATCGACCACAACTCTTTGCATGCAGCCATCCAGCCAGTTCTTTATCCACCGAGTGGTCCATCCATCAAATTGATGTTTCTCCAATTTAGAGACAAGGATGTTGTGTGGGACAGTGTCAAACGCTCATTCAGATTATTAAGATGGTCTCGAACCAGTTCCTCTCCTACACTGGTGTAAGTTCTTCATTTTCACAGTCCCTGCATCTGCCTTCCAAGACTTGGGTGGTGCGGTCAGAGCCTTTGCCAGTGAAGACCAAGGCAAAGAAGTCATTCAGAACCTCAGTCTTCTCCAAATCCTGTGTAGCCAGTTCTCCCGAGAGCTTCCTGAGGGGGCCTACTTTTTCCCTACTCTGTTTTTTATTTGCTACATACTTGTAGAATCCCTTCCTGTTATCTTTAATACCCCTAGCCAAGTTTAATTCTAACTGGGCCTTAGCTTTCCTAACCTGGTCCCTAGCTTCCCAAACAACATCCCTGTACTCTTCCCATGCCACTTGTCCTTGCTTCCACTTATTATAAGCCTCTTTTTTCATTTGAATTTTCCCCAGGAGCTCCTTATCCATCCAAGGAGGTCTCCTGACCCTCCTGCTGCACTTCCTTCTGGTTGGGATGCAGCACTCCTGAGCTTGTAGCAGGTGATCCTTGAATATCAACCAAGAGTCTTGGGCCCCCCTGCCCTCTAGGGCTGTATCCCATGGAACCTTCCTAAGCAGGTTCCTGAAGAGGCCAAAGTCTGCTCTCTTGAAGTCCAGGGCAGTGAACTTGCTGCACGGTCTCCTCACAGTCCTGAGGATCTCAAATTCGAGCATCTCATGATCGCTGCATCCAAGGCTGCCCTGGAGCGTCACATTTCCAACGAGCCCTTCCCTGTTGGTGAGCACAAGGTCAAACATGGCACCTCTCCTTGTCGGCTCCTCTATTACTTGCAGAAGGAAGTTGTCTTCTACACAATGGAGGAACCTCCTGGATTGCTTGTGCCAGGCTG